TTTTAATTTTTTTATTTGTTTAATTTCAATCAATTTTATTTAATTTAATTCATTTTAATTGATATAATTGTAATTAATTTAATTTAACTTTCATTAATTTTAACTAATTTAATTTAATGTTGCACCCGCAATATTCTAGGGGGGCCGCTACTATGAAAGTTTTTCGGCTATTCAGGATCTGGACCCTTTGTTTTGGAGGTCCGCTATAATGAATAGTTTTCGGGCCGTGACTGTTTTTTTGAGGGTGTCAGGAAAGCATAAGCTTCTCGAGAAGGAGAGATACTTGAAGCCTGAAGCCTCGACCTGTCCAGGATCTCCGACAATCTTCTTTTCAGGGCGCCTTTTCTTTATAAATTCCTTACTTAAAACTAGATGATTCCACAGGCGAATCATATCCGGAAAGGGGGTACCTTACGGAGGCCTCCGGACACACGTTAATACCTTTGTTTGGGGGCCCGCTATAATGCAAGTCTCCAAGAAGGCATAAGTTTTCTCGAGAAGGAAGGATACTTGAAGCCTGAAGCCTCGGCCTGTCCAGGATCTCCGACAATCTTCTTTTTTCATGGCGCATTTTCTTTATAAATTCCTTACTTAAAACTAGATGATTCCATAGGCGAATCATATCCGGAAAGGGGGTAGGTACCTTACGGAGGCCTCCGGACACACTTTAATACCTTTGTTTGGGGGCCCGCTATAATGCAAGTCTCCCGGGGCCCGGGGCTTAGTGCTTCGGTTTTCAGGAAGGCATAAGCTTTCTCGAGAAGGAGGGATACTTGAAGCCTGAAGCCTCGACCTTTCCATGGTCGGGGGGTAGCTTAGGGAGCCCTCTGGACTCCGGACCCCTCCCCTGCCTGACTGTTTGGGGTCTTTTTTTTATTCAGGGTCGCGACTGTTTGGGGGGGGTGGGGGGTTACATTATTAAAGCAGGTCCAACATTAGTTTCCTTTTAATTAATTTTAATTAATTTTAATTAATTTTAATTAATTTTAATTAACTTTAATTAATTTTAAATAATTTTATTTAATTTTAACAATAATTTAAGTTAATTTTAATTTATTAACTTACTTTAATTTACTATATTTTAATTAATTTAATTTTAATTAATTGAAACTAATTTTGAATAAATTTAATTAATGTAATTTTAATAAATTTTAATTTTCATTAATTTAATTTTATTTTAATTAATTTTAAGTAATTTCAATTAACTTTAATTAATTTTTAATTTATTTTAATTAATTTAATTACTTTCAATTAGTTTTAATTGAATGATTTTTGTTTAATTTAATTTATTTTGGAATTAATTGATTTTAATTAATTTTAATTAATTCAAATTGATTTAATTAATTTCAATTTAATTAATTAATTTTAAATAATTTGATTAATTTCATTTTTCATTTTTTACAATTAATTTTAATTATTTTAAATGATTGTACGAGTTTTGTTTTTTTTCATTAATTTTACTTAGTTTTAGATAAGTTTAATTAATTTTAATTAATTCTTAATTTAAATAATGTTAATTTTTACTTAATTAATTTTAATTAATTTTTAAGTTAATTTTCAATAAATTTTTAATTAGTTTTTTAATTAATTTTAATTACTTTTCATTAATTTGAAAATTTTTAATTATTTTAAATAATTTTAATGATTGTTTTTTTAAAAATTAGTTTTGATTATTTTTTAGATTAATTTTTAACTAATTCCTAATTGTTTTTAATTAATGTTATTAATTTAAATTCATTTTACATAACTTGAATAAATTTTAATTAACTTTATTTTCATTTTAATTTATTTTAATTTAATTTATTGTTAATTAGTTTTTAATAATTTAATGAATGTTAATTAATTTTAATTCATTTTAATAACTTGAATTAATTTTAATTAACTTTATTCATTTTAATTTATTTAATTTAATTTATGTTAATTAGTTTTAAATATTTTTATTTAATTTTAATTTAATTTTAATTAATTTGAACTAACTTTTAATTAATTCTTAATTGATTTTGATTTTAATTAATTTTGATTAATTTTAATTAATTTTGATTAATTTTGAATAATTTTAATTATTTAATTAATTTGAATTAATTTGAATTAATTTGAATTAATTTTAATTAATTTTAATTATTTTAATACTTTTTTAATTTTTAATTCAATTAATTTTAATAATTTTACTTGATTTTAATTAATTTTAAAATTTATTTTCTAATTAAGTTTTAAGTAAGAAGAAACGAATTTTAATTAATTTATTTTAATTTTAATTAATCTAATTTTTAACTAATTTAATTTAATTTTAATTAATTTTCATTTTAATAATTTTAACTAATTTAATTTAATAATAATTAATTTAGCAAATTTTAATTGAATTAATTAAATTTAATCAATTTTTTAGTTAATTTTATTAATTTCAATTAATTTCAATAATTTTAATTAATTGTTAATTATTTTTTAATGAATTTTAATTAAAATTTAACTAATTGTTAATTATTCTTAATTAATTTTAATTAATTGTAATTACTTCTACTTAATTTTAATGAATTTTAATTAATTTTAATTAATTAATTTTAATTAATTTAATTATTTTTAATTAATTTTAATTAATTTTAATTGATTTAAATTGATTTTAATTGATTTTAATTAATTTTAATTAGTTTTAATTAATTTTAATTAATTTTTATTTTTTTAAAACTAATTTTAATGAGTTTAAATTAATTGTAATTTTTTTAATTAAATTTCATTGAATTTAGCTAATTTTAATTTATTTGAATTATTTATTTTAATGTAATTAATTTATTCTTAATTTAATTCTAATAATTTTAAATAATTTATAATTAGTTTTAATTAATTTTAATTCATTTTAAAAAAATTCTCAATAATTTTGATTATTTAACTAATTTTAATAAATTCAATTAATTTTATTGAATTTTAAATTTTAATTTAATTTTTAATTTTAATTTTAATTTAATTTTAATTTAATTTTAATTTAATTTTAATTTAATTTAATTTTAATTTAATTTTTTTAATTTTAATTTTTTAATTTTTCTTTAATTTAATTCATTTAGTTTAATTGAATTAAATAATTGGAATTAATAATCTTAAGTGTTTTTTTGAATTTTAATTAATTTAAGTAAAGGAGCAAATTTCAATTTAATTTAATTGTTTTTTTTTATTAATTTTACGTAATTCAAATAATTTTATTAATTTAATTACCTTTAATTTATTTCATTTTATTTTAATTCCTTGTATTTAATCTATTTTTATTTACTTTTAATTTATTTGAACCAATGTAATTTCAACATCTTTGAATTAGTTTTAATTAGTTGTAGTTAATCTTGTTTACTTTCAATTGTTTTTTCTTAATTTTCATTAATGTTAAATAATTTTTTCACTCATTTGAATGATTTTTTAATTAATTTTACGTAATGTTATTTATTTAATAAATTTTGTTTTTTTCATTTAAAGAATTTTAATTATTTATAATAGCTTTTAACTATTTTTCAGTTTTTACTTATTTTTAGTTAATTTTAATTTGTCTATATTAATTTAAGATACTTGAAATTCAATTTTAATTAATCTTAATTCATTTCATTTATTTTTAATTAAGTTGAATTGATTTTAATTGATTTACATGAATTTAAGATATTTGAAACTTAGTTTTGATTAATTTTAATTAGTTTTCCTTTTTTATCCTTCAGTTCCTTTAATCAATTTTTCAGTATTTAAAAATTAATTTTAACTCATTTCTATAAATTTAAATTAATTTTCATAAATTTTAATTAATTATAATTAATCTTAATTACTTATAATCATTTTCAAGTTAAATTTAATTAAAACGTTACTTTTGTTTATCTTTTTTGTTGTCAATAATTACTTTTAATTCATTTATTTTTTGTTTTATTTAGTTTAATTGTAACTTCTTGTGATTCATTTTGATTAATTTTAATTATCCTTAAAAAGAAGTAAAATTAACAAAAACTAAAACTAATTCATTTAATTCACTGAACTTAAGCAATTCTTTATGCATTAATTATACATTAATTGTATTTTTTAAACTTACATTCATTTGAAACAATCTTGGGGGTTCTTGAGCCAATCGTAAGGTTCCCAAACACTGATCGGCCTCGCGGCAAGTCCTGAGCTTCGCTGCAGATCCCGCACCGCGGCACTGGCTGCAGAGCTTCTGGACCTGGCAAGAAAGAGCCACTCCTCAGGGGGGGGTTTAGGGTTTAGGGTTGATAGAAATTGTATAGGGTTCATGTCCGGAGTTTTGGGCGAATGTTTTTTTTAATGCTTTGGGCCGGTGGTAAGAGGCACTCTTAAAAGGGGGACCCCAGGATTTGCCGGCTCAGGTCCGGAGTTTAAACCAAAGTGTTGACCAAAAACTTGGACTCGAGTTCTGCCCTGGAGCTTTGGAGCCTTGTTTAACTTGAAGTTTTGGGGGCCTCATAAGTTCCTGTTTCTTGAACGCTTTGCACAGCCCATCGAAATTTCAAGCTCTGAAAAGCTGAATTGCAAGTTCTGAGTCCTGGCCTTGAGGGTTTAGGGCTCATGGCTTAGGGTCTAGGGTTTAGGCCCAACCCTAAACAACGCGGCCTTCAACTTGCAGAAGCTTTTGGTGTATACCCAGAATCTCCCTCCAAGTACCGTTTCAGAGACCCTGAATTATTACCCCAATTCGGTGCCCTTAGGGTACTTGAGGAGCTCCAGTCCAAGCGAAGAGGGTTCAGGGATTAAGGTGTATAATATGTAAGAATATGAGGGCTAGTGTCAAGAGGAGTTAGGGCTTGGGCGGCCCATAGAGGGTTCATGGGTGAAACGTTCTGACACTGTTGTTCGAGGGAGGGGCTAAGGCTTGCAATTTGCGGCAGTGTTTCCCATAACAAGGCACGGGTGAGCTCTCAGGAAAGCTCTTTGAGCCTGTCACATAGAAGCTGTACATGCTGCGTTGCGTACTGCACAGAGGACTTTCTGCTCCATGAACTACCACGAAAGCAGGTGAGTCTTCTTCACTCCGAGTAGATCGATCTTGCCTTGGCATAGAGTGCCTTTCCCTGAGCGCTCTTTCCGCCAATAGCGCAAAACCCCTTGATGCCCAGCTCCTCCCTCGCCTTGGAGACTGCGTTGGTCCACTTCTTGGCGTATTCCGCGAACAAGGCTTTGCCTTTGGCGTGCTGCTTCTTGGTCACCACCTTGCCGTTCCTGTTCTTCATCAAGTCACTCTTCTGGAGGCCGGTGGCTGTCTTCTCCTAGCCAGGCAAGGCTCTGCCAATAATTCTGTGGAGAGCTGCGGGAGCTGAGAGACTCTACAAGACCTCATTAGTATTCTCTAGTCATGACAGTCATGACTTCTAGGAGGGGCAAGGCAAGCGCTTTGGGGGTCTGCCACCATGGGAAGGTTCACATGCGAACATGAGAGGGTGGCAGTTTCAACTCAGCTGGATTGCAACATCGAAGTGCTTGACAGGTGCCGCAACGGTATAACTACCGGTCTTCTACGCTGGCGACGTCCTTGCTACCCCGGAACACGACCATCTTGGCCATCTTGCCACGAGCGATCTTGCTTTCCTTCTTCTTCTTCATCACCTAGGGCAACACTTCCGGACCGTAGCCCATGGCCAGCAACATGCAATGCAACAGCTATGTCACAAACCTTAGCAACCCAGAACCACAGCACAGACCTGCCTTCATTGCCTTCATTGCCTTGGCCATGGCCTTCATGGGGCGTCCCCTCTTCATGGCCTTCTTCATCACTGTCTTCTTCATGGGCAATGCCATGGCGAGGAAAGCACAGACTAGGGGAGCTGCAGGTGCGGAATGGCAGAAACAGCAGGCTGGAAGCCAAAAGAAGCAAGAGTCAGCGGTTCAAAGCTGCAGGGTTTGGGAGCTGAAGGGGTCTATGGTGTTGAGGGGGGTTGGGGCGTGAGGATCAAGTTTAGGGTAAGGAAGGCGCTGGGCACTCCGACGATCTGCGAGCTCGTAAACCCTACACCCTGAGCACACCCGGGCCTGCTGGACCATGGGGCCCAGGCGGATGACCTCTCCGCAGGCTTTTAAGGGTTCAGGGCTTTAGGGCATGTGGGGGTTGTTTTCCTGGACCCTTGAGGCTCTTTAAGAAGTTTAGGTCGCTTGGGCTTCAGGGCAGCGTCGGAATGAATGCGCAGGCTGTAGGCCGAAACCCCCGCAACCCCAGCCTCAGGACCGTTTAAGGCACACCATCCAGGGAGAGACTTTGGGGGTTGGCCCAGGGCTTTCGTGTGGCTTTGGCGCATGGAGGTGCGGAATTCGGGGTGTAGGGCTTAGGATTTAAGGTTTTTCTTCTTCAACCTGCCTGCTGCCCTGAATGATGGCCCGGGCCACCATCGTGGGGCATGTGCGGTATCTGACAGAGTACTTGCGGCAAGGGATCTTGATAGGCAACTCTGAACCCCTAAAGCCCTAAAGCCCTAAAGCCCTAAAGCCCTAAACCCGAAACTTTAAACCCCCAACAAGAAGTCCCACAACTCCGGCCCCATCGAGCTACCTCTACCATGTGGCCGCGGCCGTCGCAGATGTCGCACTTCGTCACCTCCGTCCACGTAGGGTTTAGGGTTTAGGGCAGTTTAGGGATATTCAGGATGTAGGGTTTGGCGCCTCTGTTGAGGGATTCAGGATCGAAGGCTCGTCAAGACCATTAGCATGAACAGCGCACAGCGCACAGAGGAAGTGGGGATCTCCATGGCCTGCCAAAGGCCGACGCTCTTAGGGCTTAGGGTTTAGGATTTAGGAAATGTTTAGAGGACTGAGGATTGGAGCCCTTAAACAGACAGAAGCTTACGGTCTATAGGGTTTGGGGTCCAGTCCCTAAACCAAAGTTTACAAAGCACGTGATCCTCCCGGAGTCCAAACCCACTGCGACTCTGCGAAACTCTGACCCCCAAAACAAACCTGTTCGGGGCTCCGAAGGCCTCGGCCCTTGAGCCTGAAACCTTAAACGCACCTCCGCGGACTCATCCACCACCTGCCGCTCGCGATCGACTACACCCTATATAAGGCTTACGCCATTGAGCTGTTGGGCTTAAAGTTCGAAGCCTGACCCCTGAACCTTGGGAAGGATACTCATGGTCAGATTTTGGTGGGTTTCGGGCTTCAATGCGCCCAAGTCGTCTCATGTACAGGGGGTGGTTTGGCGTTCGACGCAAGAGTCTTGCAGCTGATGATGAATGAAGTGCCTCTAAGGCTTGGGATTTAAGAGCCAAGGCTTACGTAAGGTTCGTGACTTTTGAAAGTACGAAATCAAAATATCAAGTCTCATCAGCCAGCTTTTCGTTCTTGAATCTCTAACGTCTTTCTTGTTTTGACGACTTCGGGGCGCCATGGGGACATGTTGTTGCGCCTCTTATTGTCACCTTCGCGGCTATGTCACCTAAGCTTACCTCTGAGCTGCACCCATCGAGGGACCCACTAGCACTCAACCCCCGTCAGCATGAAGTCGAGGCTCGGCAACCAATGCAACGTGTCACGGCTACTACACCTCAGTAGCCAGAGATCACTCGCACGCCTTGCCCCCCCTCTACCCTAAGCCCCTGAAGCCCTTAAAGCCCTTCGCATTTGGCCGGGGGGGGGGGGGGTGAAGTTCCTTGAAGATGGAGGATCCTGAAAACCCAGGTGCCTTCCTGACAATGGGTACCGGCCGGGTGACCCCGGTGTAAAGTTCCTCCAGGGTCACCTGGGCACGCGAAACCTTACTAATACGCCTCTGCCCTAAAGTCTACCGGGCCGTATCACCGACAGTAAGTGATGGTTCGAGATCTTTCACTTTTTGAGTTGCAGGAGAAGCTCATGGTTCAGGACTTTCAGGGATCAAGGTTTATGTTTGGCCGAAACACCGGCCTGAGTGGGGGCCCTATTCCAACCCTAAACCAAATGAATCCTGTACTGGCCCTTACTCATCTTTTCATGTAAGCTTAGGGTTTAGGCTCTCCCGTAGGTAAACACGGCTCGGATTGAAGCGCAAAAGGCGCAGGCTGCCCGGCTACCTTCCCAACCCCCTCTCAGCGCCCTTTGATACTCCAGCACTAGGAGTCGCTTGAGGAATCCCAAGCAGCCCAAGCAAACCCTATAGACCATAAACCCTAAGCCCTATAGACCCTGAACCCTAAGCCCTAGTTGCACCTACACTTCAGGGATAAGTCATGTTCTTGGGGGGGACCTTGCTGAGGGCCACTGGGCGCCGGGCCCAGATCGGCTGGATGACATCTTTGGTCCGCGGCCTGAACCCTAAACCCTAAACCCTAAGACTTTGTGCTACTAGGGCTTCGGGTTTGGGGTTTAGGGCTTCAGGATCTGATCGGCCCCTTCAGGTCTGCTGAATTGGGCTTAGGGTTTGGGGTTTGGGGTTTAGGGATATGGTGGCACCCGAAATTAGGGGGTCCTTATTCTCAGGAAATCTTACTATTTGGGTTTAAGAGTAGGGGTCCCTTGTGAGGGCTTCGGGTTTGGGGTTTAGGGCTTACTTCAAACGCCTAGTTACCCAAAATAAGAGGCTACGATGGCCCCAAAAGACTCGCAGAAAAGTCTAGCCCAGAATTGTGGTCTACTGGCTTTCAAGGTAAGGATAATACTGATAGGGCCTTAATGTCTGCTTGATGGGGTTCAGGGTTTAGCGATATGATGATCAGGGCTTAGGGTCTGATTAATGGTTGATAGGCTTAGACGTCCACAGTACCTTTACACTTTTAGGGTAGGCCTGAGTCTACCCCAATAAGTTTGCAGTCTGCCTATGGGGCTACTAGGCAAAAGGCCCAACCCTAAACAAAAGGGGGTTTTCCGAGATGGAGAGAATGAGCGGGCAGCTCCTGGATTGAGCGAGATTGCCGCTTCAGTTTGCAGAACTCTTGCGGCAGGCAGCGTCAGACGAACAAGTACAGAACCTAGAGTGATGCCGCTTGTGATTGCAGGCCTCTGCGCCCGTCCACGGCCCGGAGCGCGGCCCCCGAAGATCTGTGAGAAGAAATCCTCACCAGCGAGAGTCGGCACTCTGGACATGCGAAAGAACTCGACTGTTGCAAAACGCAATGTGTGCCGGGTACCCGGCCTGCCCACTGGGAGACTTGTCCTGGGGAAACGGGGAAACGCTGAAGCGCCACGCAAGCAGGCCCTGACCCCTCCCCCCCCTGCAGCGCCCTAGCTAAGGATAAAGATACGTACGAATAACTCTGCATCCTGCCACAAGGGCTTGGCGTTCTAGCGCTTTAGGTTCTTATAGGACATTCTTAGGATGTCACGAGTCTAGAAAGCTTTTTTTTGGGGGGGGGGGGGGGGGGGGAGGGGAGGGGGGGTTCATGGAGCTGCACTCCCTGGGATGCTTTGTCGCACACCGTGTTGGGATGTCTGGGGGCGGGCTACTATTCAGGGCCCTTTCAGCCCTGAACCCTCGTCAGCAAAATTCAGGGCAGAAAAGCTTATTCACGGATGTTTCAACAATACTTTGATCGATATCGAAACCGTATCGATGATGCCGAATCGTGAGGTATCGCAGAAGTGGACTAGCATACTAAGGTCACTTTTCTTGAGTTTCGGGATTTCTTATCTCAATCCCTAACACCCTACCTGCAGAAGAGGAGAAGAGACAAGAGGAGAGAAAAGGAGACAAGAGGAGAGACAACAGGAGAAAAGGGAAAACCTGAGCTTGGCGAAATGGTCACTGGGACTCTGGCTTCGTCCAAGCCCTCTTCCCCGTAACGGTCCTCAGGCTGGCTGCAACTTGGGAAGGCTGGGTTTAGTTAGGGTGTAGGATGTTTTGTCCTGCTACTTCAGGTCTTCGTGCCACGGTCTAAGCTGTTTGCAGCAGGTTCTTAGACGCATGAGTTTGCGAGAGTGCTTACATGCTACTCAAACCTGCAAGAAGAGGCTTTGGGGTTCTGTAGGAAGGGCTCAGCGTACAGGATTCTGGAGACATAGCAGCTCCCGTCTGCCGCGGATACCTTTTTGGGGTTTTGCAATAAGGATTACAATCTTTTGGGGGGGGGTATATTCGGGCCCTAACTAACCCTAAAGCCGAAACCCCCGAACCCGAAACCCTGAACCCAACTTCGACCAGCCTCTTCCTTCGGGCTAGGTGGCTGGCTTCAAGGGTCAGGTGGGGGGATGCTTTACGGGCCCGGAACCTTCTAAGTGAACAAGACGTATCGTCCCTAAGAGGATGAAGGCGAATTCAGCAGCTACCCTGATAAGGCTTAGGGCAAAGGAGTTTGAGAGCTCTAAGTTCTAAGCTCATGCACATTTGTGATTCTGACTATTGTTCCTGTTATCGCTATTGTGACTTTTGTTGCCTGGGGGGGGGGGTCCTCCCAGCCATGCTTTGAAAGGGTTGAAGCCCCCGACAAACCCCAGACTTCGGTCTAAAGCCGCCTCACCTCGATACTCCGAAAGGTTCGCCTTGAGACCGAGAGTTCACACCCACAGAGAAAGCGAGGCCCGCACGTAAGTCTGCCGCTGCTCAGGATCGCTGAGGACCTGGAGGCATCACTAAGGGCGTTAGGGTTCATCAGCTTTCGGGTTTGGAAGGGCCCTTCCCTCTTGATCTGCCCAAACTCTGGTCGTTCATCTCCCTCGATATCTTCGACCGGAAGCCCCAAGGCCCCTGAACCCCTGAACACCAAACTCCAAACCCTACCCCCCTAAACCTGAACCCCTCAAGCCCTGGACCATGGAGACCCAGGATCCCCCCAAATGGCCTCGAAAGCCCGCTGCAGCTCCTTGAAAGCGTCGGGGTCCCCGCCCTTCGCCCAACGCAGCAGCTTTGGCTTTTTTGGGGGAGGCCTTGAGCGTTTGGGGCTGTTCAAGTCTAGAGTGGGTTTAGGGATTCAGGTTTTAGGGCATTGATTCTTTTTCTTTCTTTTTTTGCGGGGGGGGGGGTGCCTTGGACACTTAACGTCTATTCTGCGCGTGCTCTTTGTTTTCGCAAACCTCTCTGGGATTGGGTTCTCGTTTGGCGCTTCAACGCGGAAGGCGCCCTCCGCGCCCTCCGCCGCCCTCCGCGCCCTCGGCGCCTCCGCGTCCCTCCGCGCCCTCCGCGCGCCCTCCGCACCCCCCGCGCCCTCCACGCCCTCCGCCCTCCGCGCCCTCCGCGCACCCTCCGCGCCCTCCGCGCCCTCCGCGCCCCGCCCTCCGCACCCTCCGCGCCACTCCGCTCCGCGCCCTCCGCGCCCTCCGCGCCCTCCGCGCCCTCCGCGCGCCCGCGCGCGCGCCTCCGCGCGCGCGCGCCCTCCGCGCGCTCCTCCGCGCCCTCCGCGCCCTCCGCGCCGCGCCCTCCGCGCCCTCCGCGCCCTCCGCCCCTCCCGCTCCCCGCCCTCCGCGCCCTCCGCGCCCTCTACGCCCTCCGCGCCCTCCGCGCGCTCCGCGGCCTCCGCGGCCTCCGCGTCCTCCGCGTCCTCCGCGCCCTCCGCACCCTCCGCGCCCTCCGCGCCCCGCTCAGGACACTGGGTGCTGATGCTGAGGGTGCATTGCGTCTATTCTGCGGGTGCGTTGCGTCTATTCTGCGGGCGTTTCCTTTGTAAAGTATTTGTTTACAAGGCACGCACGTGCAGCATAGCCTTTAAGTGTCCATCTAACGGGGGGGGGGGGGGGGGGTGGGGCAGAGGGAGCCAGGGCGGACGGTTGCTTCGTTCTTCAGCGAGTGTAGCTGAATACCTATCGCGTGCCAGCTGAGCTTGCATACATGTTCTTGACAAACTTGAGGTCTGTTGCATGGGTTTCAGCTCATTGAAGCATGCAAGCCACCTTCAACACCGACGCCTCAAAAGTTTGGCGGTGTAGGGTCGAACAAGCTCCCTGTAAACCCTAAACTGCAGACTTCCAAACGCGCCCCTGTAGCACGCTCCCAGCCTTGTCAGGGTGGTGCGTCTTGGCCATCTTGTGGTAGGCCTTTCTCCATGGTAGGACGATGGAGGGTTTAGGGCGCAGAGTTGCCCAGCATCAGACGTCCAAAGGTCCAGGCATTCCGAACCTCCATCTGCCCTCCAAATTCTACATCCAACAGCCGGAAACTTCGCGCTGTGTGTAACTGCAATTTGCCCAGGATCTGAGGCCCTATGAACCTAAAACCCTAGACCCGGCCCTAAACCCTACATGAAACCCGCATTTCCTGAACTTTACCAAGCCCTAAACCCTTACCTTTGTGTAGGATCTTGTACGTACCAAAACTTCGACTGAAACCCCTAAAGGATGAATAGGCAACCTGCCCAGAACAAGGTTCGGGGGCTTAAGCCTCAAATCCGCAGACTGTCCTCAAACCAGATCGGCCTGAATCCGACGCACATGCGGATCCAGCCTTCTTGATTTCGGTGCTGCTCGCATCCTTGCTGATCCCTAAGAGCTCGTAGAAGCGGGAGTTGTTGACCTGCAGTTTAGGGATTTAGGGATCAGGGTTCATGAGGGAATTTCAAGGTTTAGTTAAATTCGAGGCCTGCGGAGGATGAAAGGCTTGATTCTAAAACCCGTAGAAACCCATCAGCCCTGATACCCGAAACTCGAAACCAAAAGACCTGCTGTCGCCCCAAACCCCATCAGTCCCCCAAGCCCCACCCTGTCAGCCCTCAAATTGTCTGCACCCTGTAGCCCCTAGATCTTATCAAGCCTCAAACCCTGAACTATACAGAGTGCAAAAGCTGGTCGATCGCCTCGCAACCCTCTGGTGGCTCCACGACGTCATCCTGGCTGCCGAGGCTGCAAGGGCTGGAGCAGCAGAGTTCTTCTTTCGTGCTGCTTTACGTATTCTGTTAACTCACTTTGTTTGGAGGGGGGGGTGGGAAGTGGGGCAGGGGCTCATACCCTGCACTCATGCAGGGGGTCATGACCCTCAACCCTATACCCTAAGCCCTGAACCCTAGGTTGCCGGTAATCCTCGGAACCAAGTGCGCAGTGTCTGTTCGGGTCAGAGAGGTGGTCAGAGGCTCCGCGAACATTATCGGACACTTGGGCTTAAAGCTGCCGTTTGACAGCTGTAGAAGTGAATCTGAAGAGTTTCGGGGCTAACTACGGGTCTCGTGTGACTTGGGAACCGGAAGAAGTACCGTCGTTTCGAACTGCCGGTAGCTGCAGCGAAAAACATGAGACCCCAATCGTCTCTAACTAAGCCTTCCTCATCCCTCTTAATCCACTTCGGAGGTCCACATGTCTCCAAGCCCCTGAAACCCAAGCCCCAAGCCATGGAAACCAAGCCCTCAGACACCCCAAAATGGACCGAAGAACCCGAAACCCTGAATGATTCAGGGTTTAGAGATCCATCCACACCACACCGAGCTCATCTCAGGGCCTCGTCAGGGCCGCCCTTGCCTGCATAGCAACGAACATGTTTCGGGGTTCCAAAAAAGAAAGAGGGAACCAGGCGGCTGTGAGGAGCCCAATGATCCCCTACTAAGGCTTACTACAGGGCTGCTTGCGCTTATCATGGCCTCATTGGGGGAACGCGGGCCCCTCCCTTACACACCTCCCGGGCCCGTACGAAACGAGGTGCATAAGAGGTACACCCCCCCCATTTTAGGAAATATGCTCACGAGTGGTAGACCTTCGCAGGCCTGCAGAGCGAAGCTGGAGGGGGTGAGTTGGGTTCGCCCTTTCATGACGAGCACTGCAAGCCAATAGAAGCCCTTACTGGCCGCAGTCGGGTTTAGGCTCAGGGTTCATGCTGGAGTGCACTTCTTCGCATGATCCGAGTCTTCTGTACCCAGCACAGTTGAACTGCTTCCCTGAGCCAGGAAGCAAAAGACAAGGAGCCCAACCCTGGTCTTCTTCCACCCTTTGTGGTGTTGCTAACCGCGTCCTGAAATAGTGTTGTACTGATGCCCCTGCGAGTGGAGGCCCGAACCCCAAACCCACTGAACCCTATCATACCCTCCGTGCCGCGCGCTGGTGGTCTCAGAGATGGGTCCGCTTTGCACCAACCGAGTACACATGACCATGCTGAAAAAGGACCTTGCAAGGAGATGTGAAGAGCCGGGCATAGCACCCGAAACCCCATAACCCCGAACCCTATAAACCCTAAACCCTGAAACTAGCGGCGCTTGAGCGCTTGGGAGGCCTCCACCCTTGCCGAAGGCACCCGGTGGGATGCCTGGAGCTCGTTTAAGGACACGGGGCTTGATTGCCTACGGCGAAGGCTCGATAGGGCTGCTTTTATGACATTTTCTGGGGATTAAAAGTTCCCGGGCTTAGGGCGGGCGAATTCGAATCATGCCATTTAATGCGGGCTTCGGCTGGGTATCAAGGCTTTCGGAGGCTCCTACAGTGCTTCAAGGCACAGGGATTCCGCCAGGGGGCCTAGGAGAAAACAACGTCCTTTCTTGTTGCTCATGAGGTGTAAAACTCAAACCTAAGCAAAGGATCAAGGGTTCTACGACCACCACCCTGCAGAAGTGAGACTAAGACACCCTCAAGCCTTTCTTCAGCCCCCCTGAAATACTCGAATACCCGAAATACCCCAACCAACCCCAAAAAAACCCAGCCCTTAAACCGTCACCGGCGTTGGCCCTTCAAATCTGATAAACCAACTATATCGGATTATATAGGATTATATGAGCCAGCGGCAAAACCTCTAATGCCAGCCTTCCAACATTTATGTAGGGTTATCGCTTTTGGGCGGTCACCATATCGTTCTCCGATGTTTCCAGGCATCGTAGTGATGTAAATGACTTGTAGTACAAGCTTAGTACTGGAACCGATGTTTCCGTGACCCAGCTGGATTTTAATCGATTTGTAGTACAAGCTTAGTACTGGAACCGATGTTTCCGTGAGCCGGCTTAATTTTCATTGATTTGTAGTACAAGCTTAGTACTGGAACGGACGTTTCCGTGAGCCGGCTGGATTTCCATTGATGTGTACTACAAGCTTAGTACTGGAACGGACGTTTACGTCTGCCGGCTGGTTTTTCATTGATTTGTAGTACAAGCTTAGTACTGGAACCGATGTTCCGTGAGCTGGCTGGTTTTTCATTGATTTGTAGTACAAGCTTAGTACTGGAACCGATGTTTCCGTGCGCCGGCTGGATTTTCATTGAGTTGTAGTACTAGCTTAGTACTGCAACCGTTTTTTCCGTGAGCCGGCTGGATTTTCATTGATTTGTAGTACAAGCTTAGTACTGGAACGGACGTTTCCGTGAGCCGGCTGGTTTTCATTGATTTGTAGTACAAGCTTAGTACTGGAACCGATGTTTCCGTGAGCTGGCTGGTTTTTCATTGATTTGTAGTACAAGCTTAGTACTGGAACCGATGTTTCCGTGAGCCGGCTGGATTTTCATTGATTTGTAGTACTAGCTTAGTACTGGAACCGATGTTTCTGTGAGCAGGCTAGATTTTCAGTACTGGAGCCGATGTTTCCGTGAGCCGGCTGGATTTTCTTTGATTTGTAGTACAAGCTTAGTACTGGAACCGGCTTTGAAAAACATTTATGCTTTTAACGTTATCGCTTTTGGGCGGTCACCATATCGTTCTCCGATAAAAACGACCACAGCCCAATCCGAAATATGCCCGCAAGTAAAACTGCTTGACGGAGAGAAACGCCTGTGGCTCATATAGGGCTTCTAGGGTTTAGGTCTATTTCAAGGTCCTGTAGGGCCGGCCTCCTGGGATGAAGAACATCCGCGCCTTCAGGGGGCAGTGGCTTCTTGGGCTGCGGCCTCTCAGCCTGGACCCTAGGCATTTTGGAGTGTAATTGTGGGGATCCCGGGGGACTGCCAAGGGGCCTGGGAGCCATGTCTCCGCATCTGGTTCTCGAAAAAAGTTAAGGGTTAAGGGTTAAGGGTTAAGGGTTAAGGGTTTAGGGTTTAGGGTTTAGGGGCCCAAGAATCCCCACTTCAGAGCAAGACCCGAATGGGCAAGGACCTGAAGACCGGAATCGTCTGCACATGCTTGACACTGGTGCGAAACGTGACGCAGCCGAACGCCAAGCACAGAACCGTCGTGAGCCCCAACTCCACTGGAGCCCGAGCCTACACATCTATTCTCCCCTAAACCTTAAACCCTTTAAACCCTGAACCCTAAACCCTAACCCTGGAGGAGTCTCGAAGTTGTGGCATTCTAGGGCTCCCACTGCTGCAGCACATCAGGGCGGACAGGCCAGGCCACTTGTCGAGCCAACCAAATAGCGGGAGGGGCGGCTCCATACACCAAAGCAGCTGAGGCTTGCAGAGTTTAGGGTTTAGGGTTTCAGGGTTCAGGGTTAGCTGTGGGGTTTGTAGCGTTCAGCTACGAATCCGCGCTTCCGTGAATCTATACTATGGCCTCCTGCATGCTCACCTTTCGAAGCTTAGTATCTGGATCGCTTGCTTCAACTTTCCTCTTGCTAACAGGACATTCCTGCGGTTAAGGGATTTGAGGCATTTGCAACAGGACAGGAATAGCAACCCAGGATTTCAGGCCCACTGTCAGCTTCCTGTAATGAGCCCCTTAAACCCTCGCGTCCAAGCCGTCAGCTCACTGCACAACCCTGCAGCAAAGACCAAACAATCTAGATCCTCTAACCCTAAACCCTAAACCCTAAACCCTAACCCCTAAACTTCCCAAACCCCCGAAGCCGGAAATCGTCCAAGAAGCGGCATGTGAATGCCTCAAACAAGCCGCCGCGCCGCTTCGTGGACCCCTCCATCTGCTGGGGGGCCTCTCTTGCTTTGGAGAGCTCTTGGGCGAACCCTATAAGCCGCCCTTTTGGACTTATGGAGTGTGGGGTTCTCAAGGTTTGCGGGTCAGTGGGCTTATGTTGGGATGTTCCCCCTTATACTAACAGTCCGTAATAGGGATTATAGTAGGGGGTACGATCATTCCTGTGAAGGGCTGTTAGTATATGGAGAGGAACGTCCGAATGCAAAAGGTTGAGAGCTCATCTTCTTGCTGTCCTTCACTTCGGAGGTGTCTTCTGTGAATTGTTCCTGTGCTTCTCCAACGGCCGGCTGGCACTTGATTTTAGGGTTTAGGGTTTCATGTCCAACCCGCGCTAAAACCTATGCTAGCCCTGAAACATCGACTGCACCACAAATCGCGAACCCTTAAGGTTCGAAACGCTCTCGCTGATTCTACTCTTTACTTTAAGGACTTTAAGGCCTGGAGGAAAGTCAACACACTCCAAACCCTAAACCCCATTCCTAACCCCCAGGCAGCCCTCTCACCTTAAACGCAACAGCCCCAAGAACCGAACTCCCCAGCCCAGCCCCACCCGCCCCGGCCTTGGAGGACATGGACGTCAAGGCGCTAGCGTTGTGGGATTTGGTCTTGCGGGACCTCTGTGGCGGCTTCGGACTTATACCTAGGAATGGTAACAGGATTACTCTATAGGTAGACTCAAAACCCTGTAAAGCCCGGATAGCCCCGTAACCTACACATACGGGCATTAATTATTGGGAATACCTACCCCTAGCGGGCGTGAACAGTGGCGGGCTGCGTGGGGAAGGAAGAAGTGTGAGAGCCGGAGCCCTCGAGGGAAATGTTTTCTTCGTGTGTGGGGAGGGGGGGGAATTGTTTGGGTTTCGGGTTCATGGGAATTATGTGGAACCTGCCTCTCAGAATGTGAACGAGTGTACTGCAGGAGATTCAGCTGGGCAAGCGGGCTGGAGACTGTTCGCAGGCTGATCCTTGGCACGGGCAAGCTCTGTGCTCGCGGAATCATTGCAGTTGTCAATATTCTACATCAGTCTAGAATATCCGTTGCTGAACGGGAGGCCGGTGCAGACCCCCGAAGTCAGGTTGGGTACTAGAGGCGACCATGCCATGAGCCATGAGCGGCATTCCTACGACACGTGAATCGCAGCTTTGGATGTGGAGCCCTCTCCAAAAGGTGTTGGCTGAGAGGGTTGCCGCATCCTCATGGATTCTGTGGGGGAACCTCAAGCCCCGGCCTAAACGCAACCTGAAAACTCCGCCGGTGACTGAGCTGGCATCGGAAATACACAGAACTGGCGCATAAGCTTTTGACTCCC